TAAAGTATCTCTTATGAGAAGATGAATACATCTTAGTATATGATAAGGCATCCTGAAATTGTCTCCCCATTAAAAGATGAATTGGTCCTCTATACGACCTCTCCCCCTTTTTTACATCAACAACATTGAATTTTGAGCAAAAGTGGTCAGCTTATCAGAGTTGTGTGATCAGTGAATCAAATTTGCTGTTGTCGAGTGAATGAGATTGAGATTTCTTCTAATAGTACGGGTTTGCACTATCATTCACTGACATAGTATTGTGAAGTCTCATCATCGTATGGTTTTATGCGCTGAATCATTAACTTCTTTTATTAGAAGAATAAAGGGTGATAATGGTATTATGCATGTAATACATTCTAGTATGAAATGTACTCATCAGAAAAGAATGTCAAAGTTTTATCAGTGTTTGGTAAATACAGTGAATCATCAACTACTTTAATAGAAGAATTATCGGGAGACAATGAGTAGGTGCGTGTTATACATTACGAACGATGATATATCCATCGGTACAAATTATTGGAATTCTCATCAACGTCTGGTTTCATATGTTGAATCATAAAATTCTCTTGAAGAATGCAAGGCGATAATGGACTGGTGCGTGTGAAAAGCTACACTACATAGCCTAACCATAGGCACATATTTTCTAGCTCTTGTTGGCGTATCGTATGTTATAATGAATCAATAACCTTTTAAGTAGAATTTACGGCCAAGAAGGGATTGGTGCATGTGATAGCCTACGATACATAGACAACCATAGACACATAATTTCAAACTCTCATCAGCATGTGCCATATCATAGTGAATCGTTAAATTTTATTAAAAATAGGTTAAAGGAGAGAATGGAGTGTTTCAATCACGATGAGGTGAAATTAGCATGAATCATAAACGATGTAAACCTATCAACGAGAAGTGGTGTATCTTCTATATCATAAAGTCAAGTTGTAGTCTAGAATTTAAACTTCACCATTAATTCAATTAAAATGGTACAAGAAGAAAAAAAATACATAATGAAGTGAAAAAAAATAAGAGAATAAATCAAAAGAGTTAGTTAACCAATGAAGTTTTCTAAAAGAGAAATGTTGAGCAACTTTTTCAGAAATGAAAGAAAAACCCAATTTAGCAGATTTGTTGAATTGAAGGGCCATAAATGAGTTTCCTTTCTCTGAGATATTTTCCCTTAAATATTGTCTATAAAATAGTACAAAATCAAGATTAGATACATCAACATAAAACATAATTCAAAACAAACAAGGAGAGACGATGCCTTTAATTGTTAAAGTATTGTAGACAGATTCCAAGCTTCATGTTTACCAATAACAAAGGAAGAACAAGAACCAGTCTTTGTAATCAATGAGTTAATATGATCCAATCATTTTAACCTTCAATTTATGAGAGTTACCATAACAAGACTCGAAGGTTCTATTCACTGTGATGTGTGATAGAATCTATGAAGAGCACTATCTTGTCGAAGAGGTCTTTGGATCTCAGATTGGAATATGCGTAGCAATGAGAGCGTCTATGAAATTAGAGGTGCCACGTTACCTAGCCTCACTTCATTGAAAGAAGATATACGTGTCCACAAAACAATTTCAGACATAATTCTCCTTTATCTTGACTCGTCAGCATGATGCTTTGTGTCGTTCAACATGAACATCAGCTTTAAGGAGAGAGAAATTGGTGTTGAAGAAATGATGCATAACCAAATTGAACTTTGTCTATTCTAAAGATGTTGCACTGAAGGAATGATACATTGACCATTTCTTAAAGGATAAATCAAAGATGGTCATCATCAACATAGGGGAAAAATATCCTGAAAGTTAGAGAGTGAAAGAGAAGAACACACATAGGAAATATTAGTAGAGTAATGTACAATGTATACACCTTTGGTAACATGAAAGCTAGAAAGAATTTTTTAATTACAAAAATTTTATAGTAAAACAAAAATCAATAGCTTACGTTCAGAAATTTAAGATAGCGAAAGTAATGTAAAGAAGTTATAAAGCAGTATTGTCAAACACAAATACAATAAAAGAATATAAATGTTATTGTTCATGAATGCAGTAAGCACAATTAAGTTCTTTGACTCCATGACCTTTCCTTCATTTCATTCAAAGATAACTTTGTGGCCAACATCACACAAATGGCTGATTGAAATAAGATTGTTCAAATTGCCCCTGACATAGAACACACTTTTCTGCTCGATTGATTTGCACCTAATTGTACCTACACTTTTGACTGTTCCTTTACTGCTATCTCCAAAAGTAAGAATATTACTATCCTTCTACACACAATCGGTCTAGAGCCTCCGTTGTCTAGGTACCAAAAATGCTCCTACCCTTGACGAATATAAGAAACATTCTTTTATCTTTGACTCTTTGACAGCTTCAAGAGTATTAGCATCACCCATGCTGAAACTACTATCAAGGGAATCATTGACATATGCCATAAGTGATTTAACATTTTGTACTTTGTCTTTAGATGTCTACTATTCCTCAACCCATTCCCCATATTTTGCCTACTTTACAATAAAAGCTTTTGGTGGAGAGATGTTCTCTTTCTTCAGGTGAGCTAGCAACTTCTTAAACATGACCTCATAGTTTTTATGGCTTTGATATTCTCTATTTTCTTTACAGTCCCTAGCAAAATGATAAGGGCTTCGACAGTTAAAATAATTACCTGAATTTCTTTTCCCTAAGTGATTCTTTCTTGTTGAACTATTACCAATGGACTGAACTCTTCTGGCTCCATTGGATCTGCTTTCTTTATAGAGTTTAACAATGAGTGCAGCACTAACAACCAGTTCATCATGTATGTCATCATTACTTACTTCACCTTGATCAGAATCATCAGAAATGCTGATGAGATTGGCTTCTTCTTTTTTGGAAACTTGAGCCACATATTTTCTTTATTTGAGTCTCTCAAGATGTCTTTACAAAGTGCTTTAGTTTCTTCATAATTTCATAGATTTCCAAAAAAGGAGTTTAGATCCATAAGATTTATTTTCTCACTGTGCTTAATAACATCATCATGATGTTCCTAGTATTTCCCAATAGAATCTAATAACTTTAAAACCAACGAAGAGGAATGCTTGACAATCCCCAATCTACTCATGTCATTCACCAAAAAATTAAACATTTTAAAGGTTTATGTTAGAGACTCACCTTTGTTGAGCAAAGAGATGCTCATATCTTTGGTTGAGATTGTTGATGGATGTTGCGTAAACTTCCACAATGCCTTCATAAGGCATAATCATTATTTCCATCATCTGTTGACAGACTCAATTCTAAACCAAATGATACACATGATAAGGAAGAGAATTTACTATGACTACCCTCGCTTTAACATCAAGAGTGATAAGTCTTTTATCATCATCGTTATAGCTAGTCTTTGTATTTTGTTTCAAGGTTCCAACAAGAGTTTTAACCATAGGTTGATACATAGGAATGTATGGTGCTTTTCTACAATGTTAAGCCTAACAAAGTCCATGGTTTCAAGAACAACCATAGCCTTTGATTTCCACATTGAGAAATTATATTCATCGAATGGAGGAATCTTATTTAAGGAAGACGACTTAGGGTAATAAGAGGAAGACATGATAACTTGAATGTATCAGAAATCCGATCTGATATCAATTGAAGGTTTGTATCGATTAGATACAATCAAGTATAAGCAAAAAAGAACAAACAAAGAAAAAAGAACAAGATGATCACAAAGGTAATTTCACTAAGAAAGAGGGTTCTCACCAAGAGAACAAGTCACAAAGACAACAAAAAGCTCTATTAGGGTTTAACCCTAATAGTATAATATATACGATTACATAAAACGAAGATCCCATTATTTTGGGGATGTGACTAATCTATGTAAAGGTCTAATCCTAATCACTAAGATTATACATCAGACACCTATTCAATATATATAATGAATAACTACCTAATATACATATGATTACCAATATCATTGAGTTCACAATTACCCTAATCAATATGCTGTTAGCACTGGCACTGATGCTTGCATTGGTGGTCAGCATGTAGTGTTTTTAACTCATCTGATCATAAGGTGTGACCTTACAAGATCAATATCAGTTAAGGCCAAGTGAGTACAGTAAGAATCCAAGAAGGCATTGATGTGCTTATATCCAACGATGTACATGGCCTTGTTTGGAATTTGAGATTTTCTCAAATCACCCATTAACTTTGTAGTAGTGATGATATAATTGCCATTCTTTAGAGGAAAGTTTGCAATGGTGAAATCATATAACACATTGTTCGCCCTAACAACATTGTGTCAAATATTTTGTAATACTCCTTCAAACTAAGCATCTTGAGTTATAGACACAAGCTTTATTATCTTCACCAAGGACCATACTTCTTCGTCATTCTTCCTAAGAACAACATGAAAATGAATTTTCATCTTCTTAAACTCATCCTTATCCATATAACTTTCTACACTCTTGAACTGAGGAAAGACGAATAACGAATGATTAACTAGGAAATCCAATTGATCGAACTCAATATCTTCAATCTCACAACTCTTCTTTGGTTCACAATAAAATTCTATTCTTCAGTAAAAGTTGTGATTTCAATTATTTCATAGCACCAAAGTTTGTTAGGATTTCCTTGGTAGAATCATGGTTGATCATTTTCCCTTTGCCTCATAATACTGTTTAATTTTTGGAGTCTTTCCGTTTCTAGCTCTTGGAGATTCTTTTTTTCTTATGTTGGGGTTTCAATATGGACACCCTTCCTTTTGTCTTTAGGATCAGAGGTTGTTGCTGGTTTGGCTATTGACGAACTTGAACCTCTTTCCCCAATACTTAACCCTTTCTTACATTGCGGCTTAGATAAGTGAACTTTGATATTCGGAACAAATGTTGTTGTCAAAGAAGTTGTCATTAGTAAGTTCATCAGTATGTAAGTAGGAATGTGGCTAGAGATCAACTTCCCCACAATGTTCCCTTTATCTTCCCCACTATCCTTTGTCGAACCAACCCCTTTCTCCCATTATGAGATGTTTGTAACTGGACGTGGAGCATTGGTTAGTAAACAAAGGACTAAGTCCAAAATACGTGAAAGGCCTATCTTGAACCATGACTCCACAGAGGAAACCATTGAAGATATTTGATCATGGAAAATCAAATCTTTTGATGTAAAATCAAACTTTGATAAAGACTCCTGAAATCTAGTAAGAGAATGTTCAATCTTGGAAAACACCTGACTATCAGCTTCTTTCTTTTCTCTTAACACACCAGCATAATCCTTGTTGAAAGAATACACATCTTCAATAATAGTTTGTGTTGCACCCAAAAGCACTTCAACCTTATCTTTAGTACCTTTATAAAACATATCAAGTTTCTTAACCTCTTTAGAAAACAAATTGTTAAACTCCTTGATCTTTGACTCGATTGATTCTTTAGAGGTATTCATTAGCTTCTCAATTATCTAATGTCTCTCACGAGCAACATCATGTAATTTCTTGATTTCATGATTGAATGATCGATATTGAGTAGCCAAATGTTCATCAACACCCTCAATAGCACCATCAGTTAATGACGGAATCATGAATCTTGAGATTTTAACAAGAATTTTAGTTCTTCACTGCTAGTAGTTAACTTCCCATCACTATCATTCAAGAATTAAAGAATTGAATTAAGTTTAGAGTTGAGAATTTTGTACTATTTTCCAGGAATTATGGCATTGTCATTGACATTTTATTTTGCTGGATTGAACTCTAACTTGGCGAATCCAACCATTTCATCCTAATCATCATGTTTGTTAGTCTATATCTCTGGTTCTGTTGATTGAGAAAATAATAATGTAGTGATTGGATCATTCATAAATCCTTGAAGTGTTGGTGATACAGATGGAACTAATGTTCGTGGAATTGTTGAAGTTTGTGGTGGTGGAATAGCTATTGTCTCAATCGCTAATGTCAAACTTCCTTCACCCATGATAAAATTTGAGTCCTTAGTAGATAAGTTCTTAGTGATGTTTGAAGTCCCACCTTCATCTATATTGGACTCATAAATAGGAACTCTAGGTGGTGTGACTGTAATATGGTGAGGGAGTGAAGTGATAATATGTTCACTAGAATTGATGTTTGTATCCACATCAGATGCATTCATAGTGACATTAGGAATACATAACTCTTTGAAATTCGATTCAACATTGGTATCCTTTCTAGGTGAAATACTAAAAGTCTGATCATGCTTCACAAGCAAATCATCTTCTTTTTCTTCACTATCTTTATCAGCCTAATGGTGGCGAGGTGTTTGTAAAAGGCTCATTGTAATTCAAAGCCCTACGCTTCTTAATTCTTTTCAAGACACAAATAACTTTTCTTTTCCTATCTTTTTGTGCCTCTTGCTTAGCAATGTCTTGAATTACGACACCAATATACTTTGATTTTGTTTTAATCTTCTTGGATTTCCTAACAAAAACACCTTGAATAGAAGTCTCCTTAACACCTTCCTTAACAACCTTCTCAACTTCCTTCTCAGAATGGCTTGCAGCTGACTTGTTAGGATCTTATTTAGGAATAGTTTTCGTTGAAGCCTCTTTCTCAACAAATTTAGGCCGTGCGTTTCATTTCTTCTCTCCAACCTACAAATCTATGGAAGTTCCCTCTATAGCTTTAAAAAGTCACCTCAAAGGGATAGCACATGTAGAATTTAATTCCATAGAAGCTTTATATTTCACCAACAACGAATTCTTAGGAGATACCAAATTAAGCATGGCATTTGGAATTCGACAAGCAATAGGAAAATGTTGAATCGTCAATTGTTGAATTGGGAATGTGAAGACGTGAGAAAGTGGCAACCTCGCCATCTGAAGGTACTTGAACACCTGCTTGGCTATAAACATCATGTAACATTAAAACTCCAGAATCGAGCACTAGAAATCTATGTCGTCTTTTTATAACGTTTGATCGATGAAGAAAATTCAGCCCATAGTAATGAATCATAATCCACATTTATTCCATAGTAGAGACCATCCATAACATAGCAAAATTTATGTTTTTCCTTATCGAGACCAAAACTTCTTCTAGTTAGGCATCGAATTGTGATTCCAAAGAACAAATTCCATATCCCAGAATGATTCGATTTCTTGAAATTTCATTCAAGGTTAATGGGAGGATAATAACCCATCTTGTTAAACATCTGGAGCATATATTCGTTCATAGGCTCCTCGAATTGATCTTCAGACGACAGTTTGATAATTTGGGCGAATTGCAACTTGTTCAACCATTTAGTCTTTAACAATTTCATTTACAATGTGAGGATTTATGTTGTTTTTTTGTACATAGTGGTTAAACCAACAAGAGACAACCACTTCATCATAATGGAAACGAAAGCAGTCAAAGCTTATGTGACTACAGAATCAATCATAACTTGAACAAGCGTCTGTAGTTATTCTGTATATTCTTTGATATGGACTAAACCAAAGGTTCTTGGATTGAAATTTGATGTTTAGAACAGAGAATTTATCATCTTTTATGTTGAATTGATCAATATGAATGTTTGTAGTAGACATGATGGTCGAGAGAACTTTGAATTAGAGAAAAAGTTAGGGTTACACTTCTTGCGTGAATGTAAGGAAATAGAAAGATAAAACTGAATGATCATGTCTTCTTTTATAAATTACATCAAAATCAAATTCAAACCACGTTACAATAAGCCAATGCCATATGAAATGTAGGTAACTGAACTAACATTACCCCTACCGACACGTGTAAAAGTAATGAGCACTTTTACTTGAGCCACGAGAAATAAACTGGAACGTCACATCCAAAAGATACTTCATCATTCCTAAAAGAATTGAATAGTCACCAAGCTTCGTTAGGAATCAAAGAACAAACTTCGACAGTTAAGGTTGGGCCTCATTCACTTATAGGAATAATAAATGAAATCATAAGCTAGACTTTGTGAAATCTAGGTTAGAGATGGTATTACCCAAAACCTCAAGGATTGCAGTGCTTGTATGTACCAAAAGAACAGAGAGAATCAAAATAAGAAAATTTTGGACACTGTAATATCAAAGAAAGTTTGATATAAAAGTAATAAGATCTCATGCAAAGATACTCTTCCTTCGACATCAAGAGAGATATCAAAAAGCTTGTCTGGTGTCCCATGAATTAAAATCGATTACTTATTGAGAAGTATCAAAGGTCCTCTTTTAACATGATTCGTAGATCGCTTAATTTTTTAAACAAGTTCGCAACTTAACATAAGAGCGAATCATTGTAAGAAAATACCTGTGTGATTAGTGTAATTAACAACAATTAGGCTTTTGTAAAAATTAATGTCACACCCCGAAAACCAAAGGCGGAATACATTTCCGGGGTTGACTACCATGTTGAGTATCAAATCCAATGTACATAGTAAGTAAAGTAAAACAAGCATTACATTACATAGTAACAGTTTTACAGTTGTTTCAAAAGTGAAGTTTGTACAGTTATGATACATAGTATACATAGACAAAATGTAACAGGTCTTCATATACAGCGTCTTCAAGAAAAAGGATCTTCGGGTACCTGTTCTAACGTTGACCTGAGAACACAAGCGGTTTGAAAATCAGCATAAAGCTGGTGAGTTCATAAGCGGTTTTTGTTTGTGAAAATGTTTCGGTTTCCTTTCGGTTTCTGAAATGTTATGTATACCAAGAAAAATCTCGTATTTTCTTAAAAGTTGGTTATTATTTCACAAATGTAAAGTATAGTAAGTTTGTACACTGAAAACATGTTTACTTATCATGTGTTACCAGGAAAGTCCCATACTTTCCTTATTGTATGTTTCACATTGTAAAAGATGTAATGTTATCCAGTTTGTTACTCTTTCTAGTTATGTAAGTGTTACCCAGGAAAGCCCCATGCTTTCCTGCATGTAGGTTTCTAATGTAAACGACGTTAAAGATGTAAAAGATGTAAATGTAGTTAGGTTCCATGTTTTTCCCCAGGAAAGTCCCGTACTTTCCTGAATGTTAGCTACAGTACATGAAAGATGTAAAAGATGTAAAAGATGTAAACGATGTATAAAGTAATTCATTATTACTGTAAGTAAATCTCTGTTATCCTAATTGCGAGTTCCATAACCATACAATAGACTGAAACCTGTGGCAATAAGTAGTCCACATGTGGCAATAAGTCGTCCACATACTTATGACTTTCGTCACCCTTGAACCATTTCGGTTCGGCTGTAGCTAGCAGCCAGGTGTGGGGTAGTCAGCCCCGTATAGATCTATACACTCAAGTCACGCTCTCTAAATACCAGAGATTCTGGTTATGGGTATAGTCCTCCACTCGCGTAACCTGGGTGGAGTGTTTTCCGAGGACGTGTCTCCAATCATACAGGAATAACAAATTTACTAGTAATAATATCAAAATCCTCCACTCTTATAAGTGTGTAGAGTGTTACTGAGGACAAAACAGTGTATAGGTATTATGTCAAATATTTTAATGTCATGCTTTTAACTGATAAAAAGTGGAAAAACCATTTGTGAAATACATATAAAACATACTAGTTTAAAGACTTATTTCACAAATATATGTTACGTGATCTGTATGTTCGACCTGTTATCAGTTGTAATATCAGTTATAAAAGCATAAGAATATGAAACACACATTTGAAAGCATGTTTTGAGTACAAGAATTCCCTTGTACTTTGCTTGTGTTCCCCCCTTAAAAACAGTGGAAAACAGTGAAAAAGGGTAGGGGTATGAACTCACCGGACTCGAAAACGTGTCGGTTTTGAATGCTAGGCATCGGTTCGGGGTTTGATTACTCGCGATGACCCTATGTAAAATGATATAATGTCCATATATATAAAATTAGAGATACATTCACTAATGATATGGAACATTACACTCCAATGAGGTTAAACACCTCAAAACGAGCGTTTGGAGTGACCCGGGTGACATCTTCGGACTTGTAATGGCACTAGGGACTTGGGACTTGAGTTTACTCCCCAAGAGTAAACATTTTATAGAGTTTACAACCATAAAACACACACATACATGAGTTTACGGTCGTAAACTCATGTGGGTGTGGTTTTGATGGTTTAAGGGCTCAAATAGACATAGGGGTTGCTAGAATGGATTATCTAAATTGCCTTGGAACACTTGGAATGAGTTTAAATCATCAAAAATGATTATTTTATGGGAGTTTACGGCCCAGTATAGGCTCCTGGCCGTAAACTCCTTAATCTTCATGAAAATGATGTTTAATGTTGTTAAAACAAATCACATGTGATTACTAGAATTATTCCAAGACCTTACATGAGTTTTATGGGACATTTGAGGGGTGTTATGGAGTTTACGGCCCATGAGACCCTCCTCATGGCCGTAAACTCTTATGTAGGGTCATACAAAGTGTTTCAAGGTCTAAAACTTGCATAGAAGGGCTTCTAAAATTCATCTAAAGGCTTTAGGGGTGTTTAGTTTGCATTCTAACACCAAAAGTTTTGGAGTTTACGGCCCAAGAACAAGCCTTGGCCGTAAACTCTTATAAATCCCACAAATGATGTGTTTTAGGCCCTTAAAGTATTTTTGGTTGGTCCCTTGATTTATTCCAAGGCTTTTGGTGGTGTTGGATGGCTTTCTAACACCTTAGAATTGGATTTATGTCACATTTTGGGGAGTTTACGGCCTAAGCACTCTCATTGGCCGTAAACTCACATAAGTCCCATAAAATTCATGTTTCAAGTGTCCAAATGCTAAAACCAAGGTCCTATAATTCATATCTAAGCCATAGAAGTGATTTGGAAGGGTTTAAGGGCATGAAAACCCTAATTACATGAGTTTACGGCCCAAGAATGTTCCTTGGCCGTAAACTCCTTCAAATGGCTTAAAATCTATGTTTTAAATGTTTAGAGTCCAAATATTGAAGTCCCATAGCCATATCTAGAGTCAAATTGAGTTTAGGAAGGAGTTTAAGGGCTTGAAACCCCATTTAATGGAGTTTACGGCCCAAGCTTGTTCCTTGGCCGTAAACTCATGTTCTTGGACCTAAAACTCAATTATTTCATCAATTTGAAGGTTAAAGATGCTGAATAACATGCTAGGGAGGTTACCTTAAAGATTTGAAGCCTTAAACTTGAGATTTGGACCTTAATTCTAGCTTGAGGAGAGAGGTTGTAAGAGTTTAGTGAGAAACTTGCCAAAAGGCTTCAAATGAAGTCTTAAACACGTTTATATAGTGTTAAAATTTTGGACACTGTGGAATTCTACCCGATACCGGCGTTAAACGGGGTTTTTGGTCGTACCCGATTAAGTTACCGTAACCCGATACGGTAATATCTAGAAATATTCCGATCACTAAAGTTGAGTGTTAAAATGATTTTTAAATGTATTAAGACACCCATTAAGTCATTTTAAATGTGTACCAGATAATGACTTAATTATACGGAAGATCGGAAATCGAAATCGGAACGAAGATCGGTTGCGCGAATTGTACTACGAAAGAGTTACAGTAAAATGATACGGAAATTTCGGGTTGTTACATTATCCCCCGTTAAAGGGAATTTCGTCCCGAAATTTAAGTTTAGAACATAAGACAAGATACAAATCATGGATAAGAAAAGAGTTGTGGATACTTCTGTTTCATTGAGTCTTCCCGTTCCCAAGTGAATTCCGGTCCCCGCTTGGCATTCCAGCGAACCTTCACTAACGGGATGCGACTTTGTTTTGTACGTTTGACTTCTCGATCCATGATTTCGATCGGTTCCTCCACAAAGTTGAGGTTTTCATTGATCTCGATCTCGTCTAAAGGAATGGTTAGGGTTTCATCGGATAGGCACTTTTTGAGATTTGAAACATGGAAGACAGGATGAATGTTACTGAGTTCGTGAGGTAAATGAAGTTTATAGGCA